CCCCACCGCATACCTCACACCGGATCCCACCCCGGACCCCAGACACCACACGGACCCCGCCGCGGACCCCACACCGGACCGCATTCTGGACCACACCGCGGACCGCATCCCAGACCCCACCCCGAACACCACCGCGGACCTCACACCGGACCCCACACCGGACACCACTGCGGACCTTACCCCGGACCGCACCCCGGATCCCACGCCAGACCCCACCGCGGACTGCACCTGGACCCCACCACTCACCCCACACCGGACCCCATCCCGGACCACACCGAGGAGCTCACTCTGGACCTCACCTCGGATCTCACCCCGGACCTTACCGCGGTCCCCACCGCGGACCCCACCGGGAACCCCACCCCGGCCCCACCGCGGAGCTCACTCTGGACCCCACCGCGCACCACACCCAGGCCTCCGTGCGGACCCCACTGCGGACCCCGGGGCAGGGGCTTACTCGGATAAACCCCTGGGACCAAGGACAAGCGTGCAGGCAGACGGACGGAAGAGGCGGAGAGACATCAAGACGCCGCTGGATGACATCAGTTGGTGGCACGGGACCGGAGAGAGCCGAGAGATCTGGGAGAGGCGTCGGGCCAGAGAGGCTGCCCCGCGTGTCTCCTGTGCGTGTGGACGGGCACCCTCCGAGCAGAACCCCGCCTGGCTGCAGGCGCTGAGAGTGCAGATGACCGTGTTCCCCGGTGCCCGAGGTCTCCTGCCACACAGGCGGGGAGTGCGTTGCAAAGGCAACTCAGGTGCAGACCGCAGGGGCTGGTGTAGTAGGGGTCATGAAACCTGAAACCTGGGTCTCGGCCATATCGAGGACCCGGGTGGGCCCTGTTGTTGGGGTGGCAAACTGGACTCCTATGTTCAGCAGTGCTGGGGCTTGACACGGCCCAGGACGGGGCGTGGAACCCGCCAGCGCAGTGAAAGCGAGAAGCCGGGAAGCCGGCCAGATTCAGTATTGGGATGGACAGGTAGGGAGCCAAGGAACCAAAGCCTTCAGGGAACATGGGGTGACCAACAGCAGGAGAGAGGGCTAAAGGCTATGGCAAGCAGACAGCAGGAGACCCTTCTAAACGGACTGTTATACAGAGGAGAATCCAAGGAAGGCTGATGGTCCCCATTCCTAGAAGCATCCAGGACTGCAGGGGAAGTGGTGACCGGGGACAAGAGCTGAGGAAGAAGCGTGGGTTAGAGGAGGGGTCAGAACAGCAGAGGGGGAGCGTCCGAAGGGGGAGAAGCCTGAGTGCTACGGAGGGTTAGCATCTGTAGGTTGGCAGAGGAGCAATGTGGAGTCCACACCGTCCCAGGGTTCGGGTTCTGAGGAAGGGAGAGGAGTTCTGGCTGAGGTCCCCAGGGGATGGAAGGGGAGAGGGCGAATGTGTCAGGGCAGTGGTGTGCTCAGGGACATGATGTCCAGCTGGGGTGGGCACGTGGGCAGGGGAGAATTTGCCAGGCTACTGAGCTGCCATGGCTCAGAGCCTCCTAGTCTGTCAACAGTGGTTTAGAGGTGCCGCACGGCAGGTCATGAGTGTGGCCTGCCAAGCTCGTCTGCTTTGAGTGCCCTACCGATGACCTAAAAGTGCTTGGGGACTCTGCCACAGCCGGTGCCTGCTTTTACATCAGACCACGTGTCTTTGTCCCACCAGCAACACGCTGGCATGTGACACGCAGCAGGTGCTCGGTATGTTTGAGGAGTCGTTCCCGCCACGAGCTACACCAGCAGTCAGGGGGACGGGGTTCACATCGGGCTCTGCAACTGACCTGCTGTGTTGATCAGGGCAGGACCCTGCAAGCTGCCCTCTCAGGTCCTACAGCAGTTTCTACAGGGGGACAGGACATCCGGAGGGTCACGAACTCCTGAGAACGTGATGGAAACCAGGGAGAGCAGCACACATGCAGGAAGAAACAAATCTGTGCCCTTCCCGCCTGCTTGGACTAGATGCCTGCAGCGAATGAAAGCTCCCCTGAGGGGCCTAGTCAACTCAAGGGCTTGTCTGCCTCCTTGTCATGACCATGACCTGCCCTCACCAAGCCTTCTCTCAGAGGTGAGAGCCCTCCTTCTAGAGATGCTGGTACCAGGACTCCATCTCTGACCTGATCTGGGCCCTTGTCTTCCAAGGGGACTCCTACTGGCTGGAAACCCCTGAGCTACAGAGCCTGTGAAACAAAGCATCAGACAACTCCAGCAGCCAACAGGATTCCCGGCAGCTCGCAAGGTCAGGCAAGATGTCTGAGAGCCTGAACATGGTTCACTTTAGATGTGACTCGGGTTTTGCTCAGATAAGGGGGAACTCGGCATGGAGCTGTCCGGGACGGGGAACACGAGGTGCGAGAAGGGTCACCACAGACCGCCTAGGGCACAAGGGCACAGGCTCTTCCCGGGGAGGAGGTGCCAGGTCCTGGTAGAGAGGGGAAGGGAGGGAACCACTGGACCCGTGGGCCAGTGAATTAGGTTCCACTACGGGCCTCAACACGTGCGCCCCCGGGTGACCTTGGGAAGGAAGAACCACCTGCTAGGGAGGGAGCAGCACCCAGCACAGAAGCGAGGAAGCAAGGCCCTGGAACCGAATCCTCGCCGGAAACGTACTCGCTCTGCAGTCTTGCCACGCTGATCTGAACCCGTTTTCCTCATGAGAAACTACTACTTTGGAGGACCCTTGTGAGATCGCGCCTTGCACCAGCCTGCCATAAAGTGCAAGCTCCACCAGTAGGAATACGGTTTCTGGCGCTCCTTGGGAACAAACGAGGTGTTGCTGGGCACACGGAGCGCTCTCATGCTCCCTCCTAATGGATGCTGCCGGCACGGGGGAAATATCAAGGGTCTTGCCTAGGATTCTCTGAGCAGCTCCTAGGTCTAAGCTGTGTCTGCTGCCTTTTGTGAAAGCTTCTTCCTTCACCTGATTTGTTCCACCTGTGTGAACAGGAAGCGGAATTCTTTCATCATGTCACTATGGCTCAGTGGGGCATGCAGACTAAAGGAGACCAAAAAAGAAAAAAGTTACCCCTACCTTGGCAGTCAGGTTACACACATCTGAAACGGAGCAAAACCAAAAGTAGCTTATCCTGGAAATAATTTGCTCTGCAAACTGAACCCTGTTGGGGCTTCCAGTCCTCCAGAAAAAATTTTTATCAGTAAAATTAAACTCTGAAAATGACCCCGAACCTTCCCCGCACTGCTTTCAAGGAGGATTTTCTTCTTGTTTCTAACTCAGCTCTCATTAAGAGATCTGGCTTCTTGTTCTTTTCTCAGGTCGCAAGGAGGCGGCCTTGGCGGCCACCGGCAGCATTTATCAACACAAACACTACCTCACACTGTAAATCCACGTGAACTCCACGTGAGGGCACAGGGTAGAAAGGTAGACAGGTACACCCTTTTAAGGGCGGGAAAAAGTGCTCGGTCTTGCCCCTTTTACGCTAACTTGCTAAGTGAGCCTGGTGCTACTTGGGGCCACGTTCGCCCATCCGTGTGGAGGAGGGAAGGTGGTGGGCTTGAGGTGGTGCCCGTGGGCTCTTCCAGTCCACGCTCAGGTCTGGGTTCCCCGCCTTCTAGCTTATGTCTGTGGTAGAGCCGCTTCAGGCTAAAGACAAAGTCCCCGAAACACGCTAACACATGCTCATTTCATTCAAGGCCCTTCATCAGCAGGTACCTGACTGGTGAAGGATGCTGCTTGGCCCCGTACTGGAAATCTTAAGACCACTGTAGCAGGTCAGAAGTCAACTTCCCACCCTCTGGTTCCTTCTTTAAATGAAGTTTTAAAAGTTCTTTATCAAGATTCCCTTGTGGACCTTTTGGTATCATGTGCTGTTTCGAAAGAATCCCACAACTTGCTTTTGAGACCTGCATCCTAAAACCAAAATAGCTCGTGATACAGCCTCTAAGTGATCATTTATTGATTTACACGGCATCCACCACACGATGGAGGTGCTTTACAATACAGCAAACATCACAACAGAACTCACATAGTTAAATACAATCAACAAGTTACAGAACTAAAAAAAAA